AGCGCCCTCTAGCGCCTGGGAGGAGCTCGCGCACAAGTCCCGTCGCGTCCCCTGGCCTGCTGCTCCCACGTGGCTATTGGCTATTGTGAACCAGAAGGCCCGGCAGCCCCTGGGCAAAGGACGTGATCTGAACACCCAGCTCCTGTTCTGAGTAACCTCAGACAAGCCCATGAATGGCCCAGTCTCTGGGAACACCCGAGCATGTCCCAACTCCAGCCCCAAACTAGCAGCAGGTTAGCAGTGGTACATGCAAGCAGAGCTTGCAATAGCATTCTGCCCTTCCAGCACCAGATAAACTGATCCTTACAGCACCTCTGCAGAGCTAGCCAATAGAATCAGAGCTGGGAAGAGAGCACACATGACTAAGATGATCTAGGGCAGAAGTAGGGTGTGGTACACAAGATGATTTTGAGTGGCACATGCAAAGAAAGCCTAATGGCTTGCGGATCAAGCTCAGCTCTCCCACCCTTCGCTGTTCCCCCCCTTCCCCAACCCCACAATGGGGAGCCTGTGCTTGTGATCCAGCATCTAGCTCCCACAAGATTGGAATCAGTACCAGCTTCCTGTGGGGGCCAACCCCTTCCAGCTAGCACACAGCAGTGGCCGTAAGCACTCTCAGGGTGGGAGGGTCAGGTTCTGGCCACTGTGGGGGTGTGGGAAGAGAACAGCCCAGCTGAGTGAGGGGGGACAATGGGACAGAAGATGTCAGGCCAATCAATCACTGATCACATTATGGTCACCCAGCATAGTGTCACCGGCTCAGCCATCTCCAAAGCTGGATGTAGTGGTGATGCACATTGAGCATGCAGCGGTGGAAGTCAGCTAAAATGCTGAAGGAGGTCTGGGCTTTGGGGACTAGGAGCGGTACATGTGCTTCTTCCAGCGCTGCCTGCAGATCCTGCCCAGGGCTTCTGTTCCTGGAGACCAGCAGGTACCAGCCAACCTGCTCCTGTCCCCTTTCCTGGACAGACACCTACGAGCATCCTGTGCCTGACCCCTCTCCCCTGGCCAGACACTCACCAGCACCATTCTCCTATCTACTCTCCCTCAGGATCATACTAAATGGTAAGATCTGCATCTTTATTGATTTATTAATGAAGCTGCTAAAATGTAAGTAGGATTATTATTGACTTTTAGAAAATTTCATTGGCACACAGATCCATAAATAGAAGTGATTATGTTCAATCCTGGCATGCCACTTCTGAAAGGTTGCCAACTCCTTTTCTAAGGACTTTGGGATTGAAAACTGTTACACTAACATAAACTAATTATTTATTCAGTTCATATATTTATTATTTCTTACTGGTTTTGAGAAGACAGGTCATTCGGAATGACTCTCTGTGCTAATCATGTACTTAATCTGACAGGGTCTTTCTTTCTAAACCTAATAATGTTTCTCTCAGACCATTTGCTAATCTTCATACCCAAAATGTCACGTCCATTCATTAACCCAGAGAACTCCTATACTTCAGTACAGGCAAAATTTCCAAGACTTTTTGCCAAGAGAGAAGCCATCTGCCAATATCCAAATAAAGAATTTTGGAGCCCTGTGCACTATGGCAATTGAGGAAATCCCACCTTCCCTGCCACTAGGTCCCAGAGAAGGTGTTGAAAAGCAAGTCTCCCCACATTCAACATGTAGTGACTATTCTATACTGCTGGCATAGCTCCCTACTCCGGTTTTTTGGGGAGGGGGGGGTTTTGGCTTTCTGCACATTATTTAAGTAGGCCCTCCACCTCACCCCTTTTCTATACTACTGTGTGATTTGTTTTGGTTTTCCGACTGCACTCAGAAACCCTCCAGAGGGTACAAGTGCACTAAGTGCTTTTTAATTAATCTGGACCATCTTCTGTAAAAATCTTCATGACATTGCTTTGAAACTTGCTTTCTCAGTGCAAGATATATTAAAGAGTACAGTCCTGAAGCCTTTATGCACACAAAATTCCCATTGAAATAAATGTTATCTGCCTAAAAACTGTAAAATCAGTCCAAATTCAGCATAAAAGGGTGCAGTGTATCTTGATACAGTATTGCATTATGTTAATCATCTTTTTGCCATAGCTGTAGAAAGAGAAAAATGTAGTCTTTCATGTATATTGCTGCTTTCTAGAATGTGTGGCTACCTCCTGTTTTGTAATATGTTTTAAGAAATTATAAAATAGCAGTCTTGCTTAGGATGCAGAGATATTTACAAAAGCTACAGTTAAACTAGACGTCTACGTCTACACTGGCCCCTTTTCCGGAAGGGGCATGTTAATTTCAGCCATCGTAGTAGGGAAATGCGCGGGGGATTTAAATATCCCCCGCGGCATTTAAATAAAAATGTCCGCCGCTTTTTTCCGGCTTTTAGAAAAGCCGGAAAAGAGCGTCTACACTGGCCCCGATCCTCCGGAAAAAGCGCCCTTTTCCGGAGGGTCTTATTCCTACTTCAAAGTAGGCTTTTCTAAAAGCCGGAAAAAAGCGGCGGACATTTTTATTTAAATGCCGCGGGGGATATTTAAATCCCCCGCGCATTTCCCTACTACGATGGCTGAAATTAACATGCCCCTTCCGGAAAAGGGGCCAGTGTAGACGTAGCCCTAGTGTAGACTAAAATCAGAATTCCAAGTCAGGTTTTCCATTTGTTTTTGAATAGGAAGTTTATTCCTATTCAAGATAAAGGCAAACATGTATCAGAAGTATATAAATGTAGGTTCATTTTCCAAAACTGCAATGTATTCCATGTACTTGCTGTCATACATCACCAATTTAAATTTTCAGACCCTGACAAACAGAGGCTAGGGACACCATTCCTACCCATTCTGGTTAATAAGTATTGATGGACCTAACCTCCATGAATGTATCTAAAGTATTTTACAAAATCAATTAAAAAAAAATCCATAGATAGGTTAGTAATCTACACTGTCTTTGTTTCAGTACTCCTTTCCCCCTCACATTACAAGTTTTTTTTCCTTATAGAAAGCTGATTTTCTATAAAGGTTCAGAAAAGGACAACGAAAATTATTTGGGGTTTGGAACGAGTCTCATATGAAGAGAGATTAAAAAAAGGAGATTACGGAGCGATATGATCAGGGCTGGACTAAGGGGTGGGCGAGCTGGGCAGCTGCCCGGGGCGCCAACTGATGGGGGGCGCCTGATGGCAGCTGTAAGGGGCATGCGGCGTCCCTTACAAGTGCCATCAGGCGCCATGTGCCCGGCTCCCACAGCACCGGCCAGCAGGGGCCTTTCCTCCCCGTCCCCCCACAGCCGCAGGGCCCTTATTCCCACAATCTAAGAACTAGGGGTCACTAAATGAAATTAATAGGCAGCATATTTAAAACAAAGAAAAGGAAGTTTTTCTTCACTCAATGCACAGTCAACCTGTGGAAGCCCTTGCCAAAGGATGTTGTGAAGTCTAACAGGGTTCCAAAAAAGAGCTAGATATATTCATAGAGTTTTGGTCCATCATTGGTTATTAGCCAGGATGGGTAGGGATGGTGTCCCTAGCCTCTGTTTGTCTGGAAATGGATGACCGGAGAGGGATCAGATGATAGGGTTGTCAGGTGTCTGATTTTGAACTGGACAATCCATTATTTGAGCTTTCTGTCCAGGAAACAAATGGAGAAAATAGAAATGAGAAACTATAAATGTCCGGTATTTTGTAAATAAGATGTAATGTAGATTGTGATGTAATGTCGAGCGATCTGGTATTTTTGTTGAAACCATCTGGCAACCCTATCAGCTGATGATTATCTGTTGTGTTCCCTTTTCTCTGGGGCATTTGGAATTGGCCACTGGGCTAGATGGACCTTTGGTCTGACCCTCTATGACCTTATGACTTAAATAGAATTCGAGTGGGTAGGAAAGATGCCCCTAGGCTCTGTGCTGGGCCCGCCCCCCAAAAGCAGCCCAGCCACAAAACCCAAAAAAACAGGGAAAACAAGACGCCTGTGCAGCAGCTCAGCACTCGCGCTGCTGCCTATCAAGTCCCTATCAGTGTGCACGTGGCCCTTAGCCACAGCCCCTCCCCCGCAGCATGGGCAGCATCGCAGGGCTGGCCGCTGGCAGTGCCTGAACAGTCCTCGCCATCGGTCAAAACCGTCCGTTGCCTGTGGGGAGGGCTATAAACAAAAATCCGTGATTCTCTCTTGTTGCTCAATTGAAGGAGG